AATTACAAAAAATTTTTTTCTTATTTTTAAAAACTCAACATAAAGCACTCTCAAAATTCAACAATAAGAAAATAAGCAACCTAATAAAAATGGGTAAAGGATTTGGACAGACACTTCAACGAAGAAGAAATATAGATGGCAAGAAAGTACTTAAAAAGATACTCAACATCATTAGTCATTAGAGACAGGCAAATTAAAACTACAATGAGGAAAAAAAAAAAAACTACAACGAGAGACTTCTACCCACATATTAGAATGGCTGAATTTTAAAAAACAAACTGACAATGCCAAGTGACAGAAAGGGTGTGGAGCAACTGGGATGCTGAGATACTGCTGGTGGGAAAGCAAAGTGGAATAGCTGCTTCAGAAAACATTTTGAGAGTTTCTTACAATGTTAAACATATACTTACCATTATGACCATATTACTAGAGTATTAAAACTTAGGCTCACACCAAAACCTGTATGTTTAAACGTTTATGGCATCTTTATTCTTAAAACTACAAAAATCAGAAACAACCTAAATGTCGTTTATCTAGTGAGTGAATGAACAAACTGAAGTGCAAGTCAAACAGCAGAATACTGCTCAGCAATAACAAGAAATGAGCTATTTACACATGCAACAACATGCATGAATCTCAAATGCATTATACTTAGTGAAATAAGTCCAACTCAAAAGTACATACAAGTACTGATGCATGCTACAACATGGATGAAACTTGAAAACATGCTTCATAAAAGAATCCCGTCACAAAACGCTACATACTGTATGAGTCCATTTATGTGAAATGTCCAGAATAGGCAAAACATATAGACAGAGAGGAGATTAGTGGTTGCCTAGAGTTGGGAAGGTTGGTAGAAAATGGAGAATGAATTCTAATGTGTACGGGGTTTCTTTTTGGGGTGACAGAAATGCTATAAAATTAGATTGTGGTGATGTTGTACAACTCTATGAACATACTATAAATTACTGAAGTATGCACTTTTAATCGACGTATTTTATGGTATGTCAAACATGTCTCAATAAAGCTGTCAACAGGGGAAGGGGGAGGGGAGAAGACTGGGGATAAAGAGATCTTTTTTTTCTATGAAATTAGTAATACAGACCAGAAGTTGGCAAACTTTTTCTGTAATAGCCAGGTCGTAAATATTTTAGGCTTTGTGGGCCAAATGGCTGCTGTGGCAACTGCTCAACTCTGCTGTAGTCTTGCAAAAGCAGCCACAGACATTACATAAATGAATATGACTGTATTCGTGTAAAACCTTCTTTATGATGAAAGACACTAAAATTTGAATTTGGTATTATTTCCACATGTCACAAAATAGTATTCTTCTTTTGATTTTTTTTCAATCATTTAAATATTTAAAACTTTCTTAGCTCATAGGCCAAACAAAAACAGGTGGTGGGCTGAATTTGGCCCACAGATCACAGTTTGCCAATCCCTGGTATAGACTATTTTAAAAATGTTATTGTTAAGAACACTTTCTGTCCAAACTGTCAAAACACTTTTTCTTAAAATTAATTTATTATGCATTAATTATTAAAATTAGAATACTATAAATACTTACACAATTGAAATATTATAAACATAATGATCTCTGTTAAATAAATGTCCTGGATATTTTCCCCAGAAATAAACCCTTTGAATTTTTTCATTAAGAAGCATGCATTATTTTTATCATGAGAAAATAAAACCATTTTCGATTTTAAGACCCAGGAGGAAAAAATAAAATTAGTATTCCAGAGATACTAATGGAATGATGTGCACCCTTTCAACTGCATTTTAAGCCTCAGACTCAGTAGTGATCTAGGTCAAGAGCCCTTTCCTTCTAATATACATATAAGCCTCACTCTCGTCAGTCCTTATAATTCCAACAACCTTCATCGATGGAATTTTAAGAATGGGTTTCTTTATAGTTTGCGAAAAGCTCAAGTATTTTCAGAAAGAAGTTTTCTTGCCAAGCAGTCTCACACTTTGTGGATTTAATAGATGTTTATGTCCATTGAAGATAGCAGACAGGGGATGCACAAGAGTCGACCCTGAAAGGTCAGAAATGTAAAGCTGACCACAAATAGAGTTCAATGTCTAGCCCTTCTCAGGGAATGGAGAACAAGTGCATAGGCACAGCAGCCCAGTACACACGTACCCAGGGAGGTCAACAGAAGCGGAAGCAAGTGCCTCTCTGGCCCTCTGCATTCTTGGTTGCAATGGAAACATCAAGGCATCTTACCAGGCTCCATAACCCCCACTCCACCTGAGCCAAGCACAAGAACTATTAATACCTTGTACCTCACCACCATCCAAAACTCTTAAAGATCTCAAAGTCTAGGCCAGCACTGACCAAAAGAAGTATCTTAAGAACCACATAAGTGGTTTTAAATTTTCCAGTAGCCACATTAATAGAAAAAGGTAAAATATTAATATAGTTCACTTAACCCAGTATGTCCAAATATTATCATTTCAACATGTAATCAATATAAAAAATTATTAGTGAGCTGTTTTACTTTTCTTTAATACAACATCTTTGAAATCTAGTGTGCATTTTACACTTACAGCACATCTCAATTCAAACTAGTCACATTTCAGGTTCTCAACAGCCATGTGTGGCTAGTGCCTTAGTAGCTGGAGAGTACAGCACTAGAATTTCTTTCTCTCACCACTATCTGCCATCTGCTAGCTGCCATCCTTCAAGCTCATTCCTTCAATGCAGCTAAACCTGCTCTTCACCTTTATTCCAACCTTAAATCCACCTGGTTTTACTCACCTTATTCTTTAGCTCAGACCTCATTTTAGACCATTCCAATACCTTCTACTAGGAGCCCAGCATCCTCGTCGGCAATTCCTCAGCCCACCATAATCTGACTTCACCCCCACCATTAAAACAAAATCCTCTCTACCACCACCAATGAAATGCTAATTCCCAAGGCCCACAGTTTCTCCTCTCTTTTAGGCAAGCAGGATAGAAAATGGAAAGAGCATGCGCTCCTGAATCAGGAACGGCTGGGTTCTGAACTAAGCACTGCCACACATGAACACGTGTGATCCTGGGCAAATTACTAACAAAAAAAAGGAAGGAAGGAAGAAACGAAAAAGAAAAAGCAGTGTGCCACTGACTATAAAACCAAAACCAAACCCGCTGCCATCGAGTCGATTCCAACTCATGGCGACCCTACTGGACAAAGAGGAACTGCCCCACAGGATTTCCAAGGAGCAGATTGGTGGATTCAAACTGCCAACCTTTTGGTTAGCAGCCGAGCTCTTAACCACTGCGCCATCAGGGCTCTGCCACTGACTGTACAGGGTTTTAAAAATATTAAATGAAAAATTTATATTACAGCACCCATCACCTGTAGCATTCAATAAATCTTAGTTCTATGCTTCCTGCCTCAACTTCTGTAATATTTAATACTTGCTGATCCATGTCAATTGAACCTCTCCTCTCTCGGCTTCTGTTACACTTCAAAAACTACTGGTTCTTTTACTGTCATTATGTCACTGTTAAATTTCTCAGGTGGCTCTTCATTCTCCCTCTAAATGAACTCTCAGGTCCTTTTTCTTGTCTCACTCCACACTTCCTCCATCAGTATCTCATTCATTCCCACTTCTTCTGCGATAACCTCTATTTGCATGTGTCAACAATTTATACTGCTGACCTACTTCTCTTGAGCCCGAATTTACTACTGCACCGCAGGTGGATTAGTGCAGTGCTTGCGGCGTAACAATCACTTGGGGAGCCTGTTAAAAATACCAATTTCTGGGCCCTACCTTTAACAGTATGAGTTAGTACATCTGGGATGAGGCCAAGGGATTTGTATTTTTTTTAAAGCTTCCCAGGTCATTCTTATGGGCTGCCAGGTTTGAGACCCTCTGCCAGATACTGCCACATCACTGTCCCATCACCTCCTAACACTCAAAATGTTCAAGAAACAAAACATAAGCTTTCTTTCCAAACCTGCTCTCTTGTACTACCTATTTCAGCTAATAGTGTTACTCTATTCCTAATCATTTTAGTTCAAAACCAATCTACCCTTTATAGTGTGGCAGAATTACCTTCCTAAAGCACAGTCTAAGCAGGTCCTCTCTGACCCTAAATAAAGCCCAAACAATTCAGCGGGTCATCTGAGTTTCTCCACAACTACCTACCTTCGCACTTAATTTGCACTTCAGCTTTCCTATAGCCACCAGAACTCCAGTCACATGAGGCTCCTCACCGTTTCCGAACAAGCTCTAAGTAGCCTATTCTTTTAGCTCTTCCTTGCACTGCTCTCTCATGTAGATCACCTCATCCTTCAACTCCATCTAACCAAGTCTCATTCACCATTCAAAACATGATGCAAATAAAAACCTTCTCTATAATCTCTTCTAGTTGGCTCTGGTTGAAATCACTCTAACACGCTGTCGAAGTGTTGTCTGTACCTACACGATGGAACTGTCCATGTTGTCCGTTGTATCCCTCTATCAAGATTATCTGTGTAGCGCTGTCCCAGAGTACTTCATTCACAGCAGGAACTGCTCTCATTTTTCTCTTATATCCCCAAATCTTCAAAGATTTGCTTTGAAGGTACTGTGAAATCTCAGAATCTGTCACATAATTTGCTGAACAGTGTACAACATAGAATGTACCAAAGCCCACGGCTTTATCAGCCACTGTATATTATTAGGCAACTTCAGCCTTCTCCAATCCCTAACCTCAATTTCCACACACTATTACTTACCACATAAAAGAGCTAAGGAACAAACTAAAATAGCATTTCACCTGCCACCTACCTATACACTGTTACTAGTTTCTACTAATAACTAGCCTGGCTGAGATCTGAGTCATTAAGAGTGCCATTTTCTGAATCATCCACACTACTTCCTGCTCTTGATTTTTTCCAGTAAATACAATATCCAATTAAGTGTCCTGACCAAGCCAAACCCTGTCTTAAAAAATAAAATGAGTTTAAAATCCAATAAAGTATAGCCTACCATTAAATGTTCATTTACTACATAAGGCATACCTGAGTTGGGATACAGGCAGACATCATTAATGTCATGTTCTGGCTCCAAGGAAGTAAATATTTTTCCCTACAGAGTAAGCAAAAAAAGGAATCATTGAAATAATTAAAGGAAAACTACTTCTGGCATTGTCACACAGGAAAAATAAACTGAAGACATAACCTAATCACTATTGCTATGTAAAAAAACAAAATCACATAACTGAAATAACAGAATTTAAGTTTAAAAGGATCTCACAGAATTCACCTTATCAATATACCAAATGCTCTCATTGTAGAGATGGGGAAACTGAGGCCCAGAGAGGAGAGGTGACTTGTCCAAAAACACAAACATAAAGATTTAAGAAAATGTCTTCATAGTAGAAATGGATAAAGCTTAAAATAGAGTTGTGCATCAACTTTTTAAAAGAAAAATACTCATAACCTGTAAAATATAATACCTTACTTAAACTGTACTCAAAAACACCAAGAGATGTGGCCAACATGGTAAAATGAGGACAATATCTCCTGTGCCAGTATCACAAGGTTTTGAGGAAAATCAAGTAAATAATAGATATAAAATAACTGACACAAAAAATATCCTATAAATACGTAAGTTTTTTTTTTACTAAATATTACTAGCTAAATAAATAAATATTTGTAGTTAAAGCTAAATAAAACTTGTTTATTTTCAATGTAGGAGAAATGTACTAAATTTTAAAAAATTAAGAGAGGGAAAGCAAAAGAAAACAAAGACAGAAGAAGATGGGTGTGGAGAAAGGTGAAGGAAAAGATACAAGACAAGCAAGGCAAGCCAAACCAAGTAACCTGGGTGTTAGCAAGAAGTATTTAGTCATAAGAAACAAAATGCCAAAATAAAATTTACTGTAGCAATTACAGCAAGATGATTTCAAGAGCTGATAATGAAAATTACTACTCGCTTTTGCATTATAAGTCATTATCAGAAGACTGATTCCAGGCTGTGAGTGCTGCTTTGTTATTGCCACTGAACTGATTCTGACTCACGGGGACCCCATGTGTGCAGAGTAGAACTGCTCCACAGGGGTTTCCAGGCTGTGGCCTTTCGGATAATAGTCGGGCATTTAACCATTTGCACCACTCAGGGACCCAGGGTGTGGCTAACTGTGGCAAAAGAAGTATAAAGCACAGTGAAAATGGTTATGTCACACTCAACTAAAAACAGCAGTTAAGTCCTAATTCAAGACAAATGATGAAATTCACACATCTAACTCTCCTCCCCCTCAAGTTTCCAATCAAATAGGAATGAGAGAAGGGGGGAAAAATGTAGAGAAAAGGAGCTATAATAGCAAGGAACAAAAGAGAAAAGATGCCACAGTTAAATAATACAGTGACTGACCACAATGCCATCAAGGTAGAAATTAACAATAGAAA